TCTAAACGTAGTGTTGCTTGGTGGAATAGAAGGCACACAACGTTTTATCTAAACGTAGTGTTGCTTGATGGTATAGAAGGCACACAATGTTTTATTCAAACGTAGTGTTGCTTGGTGGTATAGAAGGCACACAATGTTTTATTCAAACGTAGTGTTGCTTGGTGGTATAGAAGGCACACAGTGTTTTATTCAAACGTAGTGTTGCTTGGTGGTATAGAAGGCACACAATGTTTTATGTAAACGTGGTGTTGTTTTACTATTTTATATTTCAGTGGAAAGAAGCGAATTTGATTCCTCTTTATCACTAAAGACAAAGAGCTTCCTCGTTCAAAGATTCAAACGGCTTTGTAAAACTATATAACATGACAGATGTTGATGAAATCCTTCTCGAATTATTTCAATAAATTATGCCATTCAAAAGCTTTTTAAGGAGGAACTGAAGATGTATGGGAGGAAAAATACCTCAAATTGAAAAATGGTAACTATTTCAATACACGTGTTTTGCAATGGTCAACTTTTTAAGCTTAACGTGAAGGACAGGTACAAACAAACTGTTTTTTCTGTTCATTTGATACGTTCTTTGTAATGACAATGAAAATGTCGCTGTTTCTCGCTTACATGTGAAAATCAACTTGACCGAAGAAGATTTAGTGATTGTGTTTTGGATTTTGAAAGCTGAGATTTGATTTGAAAGTAACTGTGATGCTAAGTTTAAGTAGGATATTAAACAATATTGTGAAAATACCTCGATTTTTTGTAAAAAATAACTTGCTCTCATGAGTCACAGAATCACGAGTTTGAATCCTTGCAGTATCAAATATGGTCGCTCTTTCGGTCGTAGGATGGAATTAATTTGACGGTAAATCCCACTAAATGTGGCCCAAAGATGGATAGTGGCCGATACCGAATAGGAGACAGTTCAAAGTTAGGAACAACGGCAGATAGCCCTCGTGAGATTTGTCACAACAAAATACCCAGTATAAACGTGAAAGTTGTTGTGTGTAAAATACCCAGTATAAGCGTGAAGGTTGTTGTGCGTAAAATACCCTGTATAAACGTGAAAGTTGTTGTGTGTAAAATACCCAGTATAAGCGTGAAAGTTGTTGTGTGTAAAATACCCAGTATAAACGTGAAAGTTGTTGTGTGTAAAATATCCAGTATAAACGTGAAAGTTGTTGTGTGTAAAATATCCAGTATAAACGTGAAAGTTGTTGTGTTTAGGATACCCAGTATAAACGTGAAAGTTGTTGTGTGTAAAATACCCAGTACAAACGTGAAAGTTGTTGTGTGTAAAATACCAAGTATAAACGTGAAAGTTGTTGTGTGTAAAATACCCAGTATAAACGTGAAAGTTGTTGTGTGTGTAAAAAACATTATTTTAGTTCCGTAAAGCAATTTTAAACAAAATGATTTATTTTTCTAAAAGTGCATGATATAGTTGAATAACGTTTGATAGAATGAATGACAACTATATATATATACAGAGAGGTTATGGTGAATCACCATTGTTATGATGAATGTCAAATGTACATATATGCAAGGTTAACGTCAACCACGGTTGTTGTATATGATGAATCTCAATTATATATGCACATAAAGGTTAAGTTGAACCACGATAGTTGTATATGATGAATATTAATCATGTACGTATACATATATATAGGTTAGGTGGGTCCATGGTGTTCTATATAATAAATGTCAACTATACATACACACACATAAAGGTTAGGATGAACTATGGTTGTTGTATATGATGAATGTCAACACAGATTGAGTTGAACCACGGTTGTTGTTTATGTAAACTATCATGATCCACGATAATGGTTCATAATAGGGTTCACCCAGCAATTTCACAAAAATTATAATTGAACTTACAGGCAAAAAGACATATTAAAAAGCAGACTTGTTCTTGAAACAACACCCAAAACCTTCTATCACAATGGCCAAGGCTGTTAAAATATAGATAATATAAAATGTTGATTTTCCAACTGTTAGACAAATTTCAAAATTTGTTCTTCGTATTATTATTATTGTTGTTATTCATATTATTCTTGTTTCACAAGCCTACTGTAAAAAAGGCTATGAATATTTTATTCAAACACAGACAAACCTACTAAAAATTCTTGCGTAGATCATAGGACTATTTTCATGTTGATTGGTGAAAGAGAAGGAGAGATTGTATTAGTTTTTCATCGCTAGTGGCTAAGTTTCTCTGAGAAGCCATTCAAGCACCGAAGCCTACAGCAAAAACGGCTAGGTATACTGCGCCAAACTCTATGCACAGCTACTAAACAAACTCCTGCGAAGATTGTAGGGCTATTTTTAAGTTGATTCTTTAACGTTTTCCACACTCTAAAATTTTCTAAGTTCTTCTTTGCTACCAACATAAGCTCTTCAAACCCATTCAAGCATCGCAGAACTCTAAAAGCCATTTAACCACCATTTACTAGTCAGAAATGTTCCATTTTATATTGGTCAGAAGCTCTTCGTTTTATTAGAGCACACAATGTGTTTATTAATAACAGTGTCTCCATTTACGTTTCTACATTTCTTGATAAATCATCACCAAACTTGACACAATTATACATGACATGAGGAATTTCATGGGGAGGAGTTTTGGGACCCACTCTCTAATTTCATATATAATTTCGAAAAATTGCCAATGTTGTATATCCCTCAGCATTAGGATGAGCTATGTAACCACTATTGTTAGAATTCTTGAAAACAGTGTGTCTTTCTTTTTAGTATTGGTACCTTTATCTATTTTTATTGCACTTTTAATTATGTTAATAAAAAAATATAAGCAAAATTCTCTATCCTTTGTTAATCAGTCTCAACTATATATATAAAACAGTAATTGGTAAAAAGTGAAACCAACTCTGACAAATATGATTTTATGAATGTTTGTAGTAAAATTTCATTCTGAAAATAATTTCTAAAATACCTTCATATATTCAGTTAACTATTAATGAAGGATGTTGTTCATTGGCAAAAAGAAGATATAGACTTACTTTAGTGAAGTGTGTTCTTCACATTTTCTTTTTTTTTAAATTAAGAATATTCTAACTTTGCTTCAATTTATCGTTTTAGAAAAGTAACACGTTTTGGTAGCTTTTAGTAACTAAAGTGTTTTCTTATCTCACACTTTGAATAAATAGAGCGACAATGACAATTATTAGAAAGCAGATAATAAAATGTTTGAAAGCTAGAAAACGTCATACAGTGATCAGCAAGAGTGAAACAAAATCAAAGGATGGCAATTCGTGGCAGATTATTTATCCTGTAGTTTTTATTTTTCTTTTCACCTGTAATTATTTATAAAGCTTATACACAGAAGATAGCAACAAAATCATATGTTCAATATTTTCACTACTGGGTTTTAGAATAATAAAGAGCATCAGGTGAGTAGCAGAATGTCAATATAATGCAAGCAAGAAAAACAAACTCAAAGTAAGTGATTAAGAAAAAAACTGTTTTCTTATAAACCAGTGTTTAGTTGGCACTTAAAATGTCTCAGCCGTTTTGCATTGATATTAACTTTGAACATGTGATTAGTTGGGTCTTAAGTTCTCCCAACCGTTTTTCATTGATCTTATTTTGTGAACATCTGCTTAATTGGATTCCAAGTTGTCCCAGCCATTTTAAACTGGTTTTGATTTTTTTTATTATATTAAACACAATGGGCTATGTGTGCTCTACCCACCAGGGGTATCAAAACTCGATTCTTAGCGTTATAAGCCTTCAGAATTACCGCTGACGGAACTAAGTTTAACTTGTGGACACTTTTCAGCCATTTTTCACTTATCAAAACTTGTAAACACTTAGCTAATGAATAAGGTTTCCTTTATTCTTGAGAACATGTTCTTTGGTAGTGTTCATGCATTTGAATCCTTCTCTTTCGCTAGACTACAAAGAAACAGCTTCATTTCAAAACCATCCGTGTGGAATTAAGCAAATCATGAATAATTATCATTCAAATAGTAATTTAAATTGTATTTGAATCTAGCTTATTGTGCTATTTTATGAATGCAAGACATTATTATTATTATTATTTGCCTTATTTTACAAAGTAAGACTATTATTATTTGTGCTATTTTATGGAATAATTAATTAATACCTTTTAATACAACAAAGATTATTTGAAAAGTGTGTTTTGAATTATTTATACATGAATTATTACATTTACGTTTGGTAACTTTGAGATTACATGTGCTATTTTTACCCATTTTCCACTTTTATGATCTAAAAACATTATTGAATAAGAATATTTTTAGTTTATTAAAGGTGCACCGGTGGGACAACAATAAGTTTACGGATTTACAACGCTAAAATCATGGGTGCCGTGTTCACTCGGTGTAGACGGCAGATAGCCAATTGTGGCTTTGTATATATATAAATATATAGAGTTTGAGGCAATGTGTCATTTTGGGAGCAGGTTTTGTTTATTCCCCATCTTATTAACCTTACGTTGTGTTAGAGTAGTTGAAGCTGTCTACCTATTTCTGATATATCTTACCTTGAGTTAAAGTAGTTGAGACCATTCAGCTACTTCTGGTAAATCGTGCCTTACATTAGAGCACTTCAGACATTCCAGCTATTTCTTGCACTTGTATTTTTCTGCTTTTCTGAGTTGAATACTTTTATATTACGTATCAGACCGTTGTGTTACCTACTGTTTTTAATTTCAAGTCAGAAAAATAAGATGAAACTGAGTTTTCCAAACTTACTTATATGTATTTAATATTGTCCACTTTGTTGCTGAACAAAAAGCTGCATAATGGGATTGAACCCAAACTTTCAACATTTTAATCTCTCAATCTTACCGCTGAGCCATAGGAGGAACGTTCGTTAAGAACTGAATATTTTAAACTACATTTGTGATGTTTACAGACAAATTATTTTCGATGATTCTTTCAAAAATTTTCTTCGTAACAATAATTTATTCATTTCTGTTCTAACGCTATACAAAGCTAAACTGGTCACCATCATTTGCATTTTAGGTTCATTTGGAAGTTGGAGAACGAATCCCAGCTTACTGGTGTGTCCGAAATTGGTACAGCCCAGTTCTATGGAGCATTTATGAAGTTTACATGTTTATTCTGATACTGGTTGTGCCATCTGCTGTTATGAGCTACACTTACACTAGAATTTGTCTTCAATTGTGGGTCGTTGTAAAAGAACGAGCTAATATGACGTCAGGAATTACGTGAGTTTCCATACTGCACAGATAGATAAATAAATAGATTGAGTTATGAATTCAGTTACTAGATAAGGAGGAATTACTAACTGTATGTTCAGGTAGAGAAAGATAATTATTTATTGGATGGTTGAATGGATAACTAAATAAGTGGTAAGAATGAAGAATAACTTTGTAAGTTGATGAATGAGAGGGTCATATATCATAACATATTTTTATGTTATAATTAAATGAAGAGACTCAGTTTACAAGGCAATATTTAATCACAGTATAAGCTACTTACCATAGCTAATACTAACACCAAGCTGTAATATTTTTCATACCTTGTGTTTTGATTTTTTTTGTATACTAAGCCTGAATTATTTCAATACTTATGCCGAAGGTTCAGAAAGCAGAAACTACTTTTTCTTTTTTTAGGAGTGCAAATCTGAGATAATTTGTCCAACATTCAACTGCACAGAATGTTATTTCTTTCGTTGACTGAATATAATAAGATGGTCGCAAATGTGATTTTTACATTCTCAGATACTTTCAGCTTAAGCTGCAGTAGTTCATAGGTCTTTAAAGACGGATGTTAAACGCATCAAATTATATTTGTTTTATATATATATTTTTGTCACTATTACAATACCTTGCAAAAGTATTCACCCCCTACCAATAATGTCACATTTTGATGAAATACAAATAATGTAAAAAAATTTTTCAATGAACTTGTTTTTATTCAAAACTCTAATGATCAAACTTAACACTGCTATTTGTGAAAGAGGTTGAATGTCAGCAAAACCTATTCCTTTGGGATCGTTGATGATTTGTGCTTCGAGTCACTGTCCTGTTGAAATGTGAATTTTCGACCCAGTTTTAGATTCTTGGCCGACTCAAGCAGGTTTTCCTCTAGGATTCGCCTGTAATTTGCACCACCCAGCTTCCCCTCAATCCTGAAAAGCTTCCCAGTCCCTGCTGATGGGAAGCATCACCACAATATGATGCTACCACCACCATGCTTGACAGTTGGGATGGTGTTGACCGGGTGGTGTGCTGTGTTGGGCTTGCGCCAGATTTAACGCTTTGAATTTAGACCAAAAAAACTCAATTTTTGTCTCGTCACAAAACCTTCTGCCACTTGTCTGCAGTATCGTTTACATGCGTTGTCGCAAACTACATACGAGATTTGAGATGATTCTTTTTCACTAATGGCTTCTTTCTTTCCACTCGTACATACAAATCAGCTTTGTGTAGGGACCGGGATATTGTCCATGTATGAACATTGACTCCCAATTCAGACATGGAACTTTGCAAATATTTCAAAGTCACTGTTGGCTTTACAGTGGCATCCCTAATCAGTTTCCTGCTTGCCTGGCTGCTTAGTTTGGAAGGGCGGCCTGATCTGGGTAGTGACTGGGTGGTATGAAGCACCTTCCACTTCTTAATGATTGACTTCACCGTACTCAAAGGGATAACTTGCGACTTTGAAAAGTTCTTGTAACCTTTCCCTGATCTGGGCTTCTCTACTACTTTATCACTAACTTGTTTGGAAAGCTCCTTGGTATTCATGGTTAGTATGTTGTATCACTTGAACAGATGCATTTACTCTGAAGTCAACTTAAACCACTTTGATTACACACAGATAGAGGCCATTACATTAATTTTGTGACCTTTCAAACTAATCTTTTGCACCTGAACTGATTTAGAGTTGCCGTAGCAAAGGGGGTGAACACTTATGCAATTGAAAATATTCTATTTCAAAATCAAACTTTCTTACATAATATCAACATTTTTTGAGTTTCTCAGTATGGAGTAGATTGTGTAGGTTCTAAGAATAAAGTTCCAAACCATCGTTGACACTTACAAACGTTCAAAACATTCCCATAAACTTCTTTGATATTCTTTGTGGCTACAGAGGCGTTGTTTCCCTTCTTGTATTCATATAGGATTACATGCCGGATGTATGTCTCGTCATGTGCCATCACTATAAGGCATCACTATAAACTTTGCACATTATATAGGCTACACTAATGTAACGTTTAGGCGGTTCGTTTAACTATTACTCTTGATGTAAGTGTTCCAAAACGCGACATTAATTTTTTGGCGACCTAATACTTTACACACACCATTATATCTATTCTGACTATTGGAGCAACACTGTTAAAATGTCATGAACACTAGCAAACAATGTCTGTTGATTAAGAGCTCGACTCGCAATGTGGGGGTCGCGGGTTCGAATCTTGTCAACGAACATGCTCGCCCTTTCACCCTATGGGTTTTAGAATGTGACAGTCAATCCCACTTTTCTTGTGAAGAGTAACCAAGATTCGCGGTAGAGTTATGTTAACAAACTGCCTTCCTTCTGCTGTATCACTTCTATATTAGAAACAGCTAGCACAGATAATACTCGATTAGCTTTGCGAACGAAATTTAAAAAACAAAGAAACAATTTGGAAATGTTCTCGAATACGCTATCAAATTGATGAATACGTGTTACTGCTCTAGCTAAGTAAGATACAATATTCATTTTTAGAGTTAATTTCGTAAAATGTTAACACTTATCTTCAATCCTATAAAATAATTATATTTTCTACAAATATTTACAAAATAATTATTTGGTGTTGATGATTAAGATATGGACTTAGTTGATTGGGGCTCATGGCATTTGATGATCCTCTGACTGACAACATTAAAATGGTATTACTATGAAATCTTATCTTAATTTCAAATTCCATGTAAGATATTCGTACATTTTATTCATTCAAACTTACATGTTAACCTACTTTTGTAAAATATAATAATTTAAATAAAAATTTAAACACTACCTGTAACTTATAATTAAAGACTATTTGCAAAACTACCCCAAGATGTTTAATTTAGCACCTAAATGAAATTTTTTTATTTGGTTCATAGATTTCATTTTTATAATAATCACTTTATAAAATTCGGAATTGAAATGTATAATATCAGATTAATAATAAAGCAATATCCCCTTTTTACTCCTTAATATACAGTGCCTTGCAAAAGTATTCATCCCTCTGCAAAGTTTCCACATTTTGTTGCCGTCTGAGCTTGCAATCATGAAACTTTCAAACCAGCATATTGGAATTGATATTGATACTCTGAAATTGCATGCTTCCCATGAAACAATACATAAACATCTAAGCAGTATGGGAAAACTCCATAAAGAAGATGTTTGGGTGCCTTACAAACTATCCGATAATCTTCGTTTCCAACGTGCGAACGTTGCTTCGTCTCTTCTGGTGCGTAATGCGCGTGACCCATTTTTGGAATTGTCACCGATGATGAAAAATGGATTCTCTATACGAATAGTAAAAGCCAGAAACAATGGCTCAGTTCTAGACAAAAACCACTTCCGACCCCAAAACCTGGACTCCATCCGCCAAAAAATGATACTTTGTATTTGGTGGGACATCAAAATAGTAATTCATTTCGAACTCCTCAATCCACAGCGAACTGTCATTGCAGAGATCTATAGTCAGCAACTACAACGTTTAAATCAAGCCCTTAATCAGAAACGCCCTTCGCTCGTCAATCGGAAAGGCGTTCTTCTTCTCCACGACAATACACGTCCACGTGTGGCACGTTTGAGGCAACACAATATTATGGAGTTGGGTTGGAAAGTTCTCCCCCCACCCACCATATTCTCCAGATATGGCACCATCAGATTACCATCTTTATCGTTCCCTGCAACACCATCTTAATGGGAAAACGTATGCTAATGTGGAAGGTATTAAAGAGGACATCAAAATGTTTTTGCTTCAAAGCCAAGTGATTTCTTTAATCAGGGCATTAACAACCTGATTGTAAGATGGAAAAGCATCATCAAT